CATTTAGACTAATCAAATGTTTATTAAACATTGCTACCTATTACCTGCTAATACGACATCACTTACTCGACCTATGGACCCGAGGAATTATTTCCTCGATTAAAGTTTAGTATCGTAAAATGGTTGTAAGCAAGTATGGATAACGCACTAAATACTAATTATTAATGAATAAACGAATATCATAAATTATAAATTCAAGATGCAAAACAATCCAGTAACGCGTTATCGACGTTATTGACTTTGGCTAATAAACATATTAAATGCCCTTGTTGAAATAAAATGATTAGAAATTCATGTAATGGCTTAAAATAATTTCAATGAAGTTGTAGAATTCATTCTGAAAGAGATAAATTGAAAATTGATGATTGATTGATATGTAACATAACAAAAAGAAAAAAAAAATAGAATAGTTTTAGGGGAGTACGTAAATACAAATGTATTATAATTTTTAACTACATATTATATTAAAAAGGTGGTAAAATGTAACAAAAAAGTAAAAATTATAAATATTTATTGTAACTTTTTGACTGGTATTAAATGAAAAAAAATTCAGTAGCGAACGTTCCAATATTAAAAAGGTTTTACTGTACTTAGTAAAGATGAAAAGATACATCAACGATAAAAATCTTATATTTTAGAGCACTTGGAAAAATAATTATTTAAATATGTTATTATTCGCTGTTACTGTGAAATATCAACCTTTTAAATATCATAATTGCTCATCGTATAGTTATTATTATTTTTTTTTTTTTGTAATACTAGGAAATTATTTACTTAAATATTTTAAAGTATAAAAAAAATACACTATTGATATTTGTAAATAAAATCTTTTCTTCTTTATAAACGAAATATTACTATACAGTTTTTAATTTAAAAATGCTACATAGAAATTAAGAATTATAAGTTTTATTTATTTTTGTTAAAACAAACAATACTATGAATTACATCAAATTGTAGCGTTGTCATGATAATCCTTACTAATTACAGTCACCCGTTGTTCTGAGCATCAAATCATCTGGATTATCTGGTGTAAAAATATTAAATCATATTGCGACAACATCACATACCTGCTCAATTTTATTTGTAATTTTTAATATCATAATGATTGATTTCTACTTCATAAAAAGAATGCAAAGCAAATCTTCTATTAATTTTTGATTTAAAATAGAGGTCAGTAAATTTTTAAATAAATATAGGTGATATTTATTTTAYATAATATTATTAATAAAATGTGTTATATCGTTACTACTAAAGATCCRAAGTAGGAAAATAAACAAAAAATCTTACAAGAATAGGTTTTATATAAATTATCAAAGATTATAATACWAACACAGTGAATTAATTCATTGTTTGATTATAAAAGCATGGTCCTTCATATTATTACTACAAAGGGTTTTGGCTTGCCAATCCTATATCAAAACCACATTATAATGCAATATTATTTATATATCAAAAATGATTTAAATGATTGGTTCATTTTATATTTCTAATATTATTAGGAGTATATTATATTMTATGTATAATATGTTGTCACCATCTYAGAAACGTAAAACATATCAGATTTTAGTTCAGTAAAATCAATTTTAAGTCTTTTTCTTGTCGTCATCCGTTTATAAAATGCCAATAATAATTATATTATAGAAAAAAAACACATAAAAAAACAATAAAATAAATAAATTTGGTATGTATAATAAATCACATTTTTGGTAGAGTTCTAAACGTTGCGTTGCGACCAGTAACTGCAGTCAGCGGCCACCTCTATTGCATTTGTGTTTGTCAGAATCATATCTTCTCTTGTGCATTGTACTGGAYTCGTGGTACATGACAAAAGGTATTCATCGGTCTGTCGTTCTCCACAGACGCATGTGTCATCTTCTCCATTAAACTTCCATTTTACCATGTTAGCTTTAGTCCTCGCCACCCCGGATTCAATCTGTTAAGAGTTTTCCATAACGGTCATGGAAGGTGTCCGCTCATTGGAAGTTGTTGTGTAGTCTGAGTTAGTYCTTCCGGTTGCAGCTCATCTTTCCACCTTTGCAGTCTAGCTTTTTGTGGGGATTCGTGCAGTTCTTTTGCTGTTTGTATGAAACTTTTTCGATATTTAAGTCTTGTGTTTGTGATTTCATGTACGAACATAGGATGTCTTTAATCCTTTATCTGTTTGGTTTTTTCTATATCGGTGGTTACTCGTCTTCTGATTTCAGGTGGAGCTATGCCTTCTAGAAGGTATAGCTTGTATGTAGGCGTACATATACCCGTTATAATTCTGCAGGTATCGTTCAGAGCTACAGATACATTTTTGGCGTGTTTGGATTGGCACCAMACCRGACACAATTTTAACTTTAAGTTATTAGATTAAACATTAAAGTGAATTGACTAATAATCTAACTTAAATAAGAAAACATTATCTTTCCTTAAAAGTCAGTTTTTTCGATATTCTAATTATGAGCATTCTAATTTTAAGCAAATGTGTTAAGTATAATATATAATTTTTTTTATTTTATGTATACAAATGTGTTTTTTTTTTGGATTTTTTAAATCTTTTTTTTTTAATTTGTATAGAGTAGAACAATCGGTTATAATCCTAATTACTCTCTCTCTATCATGAAATTTAGTTACATTTTTTAATTGGTATAAAAGTTTCAACTTTAAAATCATTTTTCTGAACAATTACAAAAATGTCAATTACTACATCATATGTGCGCTATGCCAACGACATAATCATATGTTGATAMAAATTTAAAGATCGTAAAATATCTAACAAAGTACATATAATATTCTTATCTTTAAGTTAGATATTAGGTCAATTCACTCTAATATTTAACATAATAACATAAAATTGATTCTGCTGAACTCAAATTAGATGTTTTAAGTTTTTAAGACGAAGAGAACACGTGAATGTGTAATGTTTTCTTAAGATTTATTGCTTATACTTATTACTTTATTTTTAATTCTGTATATTTAAATATATTTTCTGTTAAAAAAGGGAATSTAGTTTGTAGAAGATGGTTTAAAGTGAAAATTCTTATTCCTTTTCCTTTTCCTAATATTGTAAAAAATATAACAAAAAAATTTAGGGAAAACTGTTTCTTTTATGCTAAATTGGTTTTAGAGAAAATGGAGAATATAATTCAGCAGTTAATATATTAACAAAGTACAATGAAAGTAAATTAATTTTTTGTTTATTAAAAGTAAATTTTTATAGTAATAAATACCTACAACTTTACAAAATTAAGGCTAAAAGTTCCATTTAAGTTTTTATTACAAATATATTACAAAAAATGAGTATAACCTCACAGATATTTTATTTATTTAATAAATATGTTTTGACTTGGTCAAGAAATTTGAAAATTTATCTCATTAAATAATATGTTGTTTTTGGTGCAATTTAAAAATATCATAAATAATTATGCATGGAATTTTTATAAGTGTTTAAAGTTTATATTCTATCAAAATTCATCAAAATCTCAAAAAATTTACAAATTATTTTATAGCCAAAATGTTATATAATTTTAATAAGTTTTCGAAAGTCATAAGCAGTTCTTACTGAAACCCAGCAATTTTAGTTATTTTTTTGTAGTTTAAAAATATTACTTAAAGGATTTAAAACTTTTACGTACCTATATTATAATATATAATAATGATCAATGATATTTTTTAAATATTTAGATCCATTTTAAGTAATTGCCTATAAATATTTATTATGCTACTATGAACCTAAATTAACTRTTCTTTGGTAAGTCATCGRTATTGTCTAAAAATAAAATAACAATAATATATTATGGAATACAAATATACCACTATCTACCACTTACCTATCTTGCACGCTAAATTAAAAAATTCAGTGGGTGGTTTTGACAAACAATTACGTACAATTTTTTATTATAACTATTTTATTTTTTKTAACTAATAGAAGCTCTATACAAATAATTAATTATTCATTTTTCGTACTTATCCCTGCATACTGTCCCTCTTCCAAATTAAACATTTTAAAAATAGCTTTGCGGTGCACATCCTTGGGTATTGAATTACGTATCACGTATGTACCAAATTCTAGAACTATGCATGTGATCGACTTAGCTGAAGATCACTTACACATACATTGAAACATAAAACTTGGATAGCACTCGTAATACTTCTCAAGTATTCTGAATCCTTTTAGAATACAGTTACTCAAACCTATTCTAAACTGTATTCCGTATACTTTTGAAAATATTTTAAATACTTCATTTTATAATATTAAAATTAATAAGTCCCAAATCTATTGAACATTGTCTCTCATTAACTTACATTAAAATAATTTATTAGTTAAAACAAATAAGTGGTAAATATTTCAATCTAGCAAGTAGCTACTTCTCTTAGTTATCTTAAGCGTTTAGTAAATTAAAACATTAAAATTATTTAAAACGTGAATTTTTATAATAAATAATGGATATCTTACATTCATTCGATTAAATTCCGTTTCATATTCTTCAGCAATTGTATTTTTTTCCCGACAAATACTTTCGATGCGATATTTTTGTTCTTGATTTGTTTGAAGAACTGCCAAAAACTGATACCCAATAGTTCATCACRTAAATTAAAATAACTTGACGTTAGTTAAGAATACAACGTTAAATTTATAATTTAATTATAGCAATTAAAAATTACTTTTGATTTTTTRTCCTCAATTTCAGTCAGATGAAAATCGAGTACTATCTGCATGCTATTTTTTTCCTCTATTGCCTCTTGCAAACGACTTCTCAAGCTTTCAATCAAATATTTTTCATTTGAACTGGCCACTTCTGGATCCTATATAAATATTGGAGTAATTCATATACCTACCTCAATAATGTTATATAATTATTACGTGGGATTTTGCTGAATTGAGTTCAAACAATTGTTTTTGTAGCTGGCAGACTTGTGTTTTTAATATCGTTAAGCGGTCTTCATA